AATTGTTTGCTTGATGAATTACAAATGAATGGCCTATTTTATATACTAGTCTCTTGGGGGCTAGTGTGTAAATATTAGTTATTACACAAGTCCTTAATATTTACAAGATAAGGACTTTCTCTAGAATTCTCTACAAGCCTAGAATATTCCAAGGACTTTCCTAGCAAATCCATAAACATCTAGGATCTTCCAAAGGAAATGTCCATACTTCTCTAGAATCTTCTCACAAATGCAAGCATTCCTCCTATGTAAGCTTCCACATGGCATTAATATATGCCAAATGGCGCTTATGTGGCATGATGACATGGCGAGTCATCATAGTAGAGTACAGAAGGGACTCACTATACTACAAGGAAAGACAATAGAATAAAGAAAGGACGAATCAAACCCAGTTCCATCAAGGCAACAACCCATAAGTTTCAACACGGGTCCCTTTTTGCAGAACTAAATTAAAATAATTGGTAAATTTGTATATAGGAGGGAGACAGAATAAGGATGCGAAATAATTGATTCATAATATAAAGGGGTACTCATTTAATTCCTAAAGTGTATATAACTTGTAAATTTGTATATAGAATGTAATTAAATTGAAACTTGAATAGGGAAGGTAATAAAGTTTCAAATAGTGTATAGGAATGTAAAAATTCCTATTTTTTACGTTTTGACAAAATTACTAAAGTTGCTATTTTCACTCTACAGGTTAAAAGCTTATGGAGTAATAATATTCTCATCTCACAAACTCACTCCAAAAACATATTACTAGTTGAAGTAGTGACTCATGGCGATAATTAAACAATATATTTAACTGAAGTTATTTTACTACATTATGTGGGATTATATTGGGTTTGTTAGAATTTTGACACAAATTATATATATGTATGTAACAATTGAACCTATTATTTTAAAGTGCAAGGAGTTTAATATTAGATCCTTACAAGTTGAAATATTCAAATTTAAATACTGAACACATCTTTGAGGCAGATAAAAATATCCAAAAAGGAGTGGAAATAGAAAAATGTAGTTAATTTTTTTTAACTAGGGTGCATCTAGTGGTTACGGAATTGAAAAGTTTGAAATTTGAAGGGGAAGAGTGGCCGTGTTTTTGGGCTAGCCCTTGTGATTGATTTTGGGCTGTTAATTGTATGATTTATTTTGTGGCTACCGATTGTCATTAGTTTTTCCCGGATGGCTATAAGTGATAGTTGCTCCATGATTAATGGATTATTTCACCGGGTCGAGTTTGGACTAAGGGGTTGTTTGGTACAATGAAGAGTATATTCCATGGGATTAGTTATCCCACCTTCAATACGAGATAGTTAATCTCGCCGTTTTAGTGTAAAAGTTATTCCGATATTAGCTAATACCCAAAATCAAATATGAAATAAAGTTAATCTCAAACTATATCCCAAGATTATTATCTTTATCCCATGTACCAAATGACCCCTAAGATATTCGGGTACTTGGCATTTGTCAAAGCTGATGTGGCGCTATCTATCAATACCTCGCATAACTTTCGAGGTACCTTAATTTAGAGTAGAAAATGTTATTACAATGTAATATGATTTAATATCGGATGCACCCTATGTATTTAAAATTAAAAATTCTACACTTACACTCCTACAAGAAAAGTCTTGACGTAATTGGTAAAGTTGCTCACATGTGACTAGAGGGTCATAGGTTCGAGCCATGTAAACAACCTCTTGCAGAATTGCATGGTAAGGTTGCGTACGATAGACCCTTATGGTCCGGCCATTCCCTGGACCCCGCGTATAGCAGGAGCTTAGTGTATCGGGCTTACCTTACACTTAGGGGTCGTTTGGTAGGGTGTATAAGAATAGTATTGAATAAGGTGTATTAGTAATGCAAGTATTAGTTATGCGAAGATTCTTTTTTATCCACTGTTTGGTATGGTGTATTAAAAATTAAAATGCATTGTATAATTTTTAAGAAAATTAGTTGTTTATAAAAATGCGCTCCATATTCTTTAGTTTGTTTGGTATGGTGTATTAAAAATTAAAATGTATTGCATAATTTTTAAGAAAATTAGTTGTTTACAAAAATGCCCTCCATATTCTTTAGTTAAGAGATTTTAAGGATAATTTTGTCTTTAACCATGCTAGTGCATTAATAGCCTTAGTACTGCTAATACCATGGTTTGCTGTATATTAGTCATACATAAGATAATACCAAATAAATTGTATAACTAATGAGTATTTGCATTAATAATACGTAGGTTGAAAAAGTATACCAAACAAGGGATTAGTAATACCAAAAGCTAATGTATCCTACCAAACGACTCTTTACTCTCCTGTAAGGTATATCTATAGCTAAATATATTAAAATTCATTTAACTTAAATTAATTTTAAAAAATAATATCCTATTTTCATTTTTCTTTGTTTATCTATATAATTCCTATAGTATATCTATAATTATAATTAACCCTATAAAATAATCAATCCTTGTTTGATAATTGACAAGAGGCATGAAATTTTTTGACAAAATAACCAGCTCACATATGCTCTTTCCAAAGAATTTAGCTCACTAAGCATCTCGTGAGTCGTGACAAAGGTTGTGAAGGATCATGTAAAGCAACGAGTCATATTTTCTTGTTTTAATTCAACTAAGGGTGGCAAGTGGGTAGGTCCGGGTCCGGGACCGGCCCGGACTTACAGACTAAGTGGGTCGGCATAGATAGGACCGCAAAAGGTGAGCTTGGGCCAGTCTCGTGAGCTGGTTTTTTCCTAAAAATCGTTAGGACCGGGCCCGTTTGGCCCATCAAGGGACCAGATCGGTCCCTTGACGGGCTAAACGGATTTTTTTTTTTAAAAAAAACTAGTCGTTTGGCTATTTAAAAAAAGAGCTGTTGTCTATTTTAAAAATAGTCATTTAACTCTCCCAACTTAGTTTTAACCCCAAACTTTTTATACTTACACATTTTCTCTATTTTCAACTATAAATTCCCCCCTCAATCTTTCATTTTCTTACAAAATCAATATCAATCTATCACAATCTCTCTCTAATTTTCTTCTATACTTGCTACTATTGCTTACTTTATTTCAAAAAATATTGAGGTTGTTACAATTTGTGAAAAAATTATGAAGTTCGTGAATTGAAGTCTTCAAATTTTCAACGATAATTAATTTTCAACAAGTTGTTCGTCAATTCGGTAACTCGTTCCAACTCTTAAGTCTTAATATTATAGTTATGTTTGTTTTATTTATTTGCAATTACTTGATTAGTTAAGATGTCTTCTTTAACAAAAAATTTGGGTAAAAATAAGAATAAGGGAAATTCCAAGATTTGCGAATCTAGTGGTACTGTTGTACCTCCTCCCCTGCCCCCGGCTCCCCGAACCAAACCCCATACCCGTACTACACATGCTATTCTTGATACCAATAATAGTTTATTATAATTTATCGAGACTGAATTTTGCCATAATATTGCACCGATGAACATTTAAACCATGAATTAATGAATGCTCTCTATTCTAATAATTATAATACTATTGATGAAAATGATGATGGAGAAATTGATCTTGATTAAACTCAACCGGATGATGATACACCCACTAGTAATATTTCTAATGTTAACCCAACTAGTGATAACGTTGCTAATCCAAATGATGACCCATCTAATACTCCCGTTACTGCCCCTACTTTTTTTAGACAACCTACCAAACGACAGGAAACATCTCATGTTTGGCCATGTTTTATTTAACTAGTTCCACAAATAAGGCTAAGTATAAAAATTGTGGTATGGAGTTAGTTTTAAAATATTTTGGATCGCGAGGCGGGACGGGATCTTTGGCTAGACACATAAAAAAATACTCTAATGATAACGTCAGATATCAACGTCTGAAAGCTTTGACCGATGGGAAAAGTGTACCTAGTCTTAGTCATGCTGTCCCTAGTACCGGTTCAAATCACTTTCAACCAGGAATTAACGCTGTTACCGATGGTATTTTATATTATGATCCAAAAAAAGATCGGGAAAAATTGGCAAAAATGGTAACTATTATGTGCTTACCCTATAATTTTTCTTCTAACCGTGCGTTTGCACATTATATTATATATTTTTTTAATTATACTTATAAAGATTTTCCTCGCACAACCGTAAATAGCGATATTTATAAATATAAGTATGAATATGAACAATATTTGCGTTATTAATATTCATATAAATTGTCATATTGCTATTACAACTGATATTGATGGAAGTAATTGTGATTACCTTACTGTTTGTTACATGTCATTGAATTGATGTAGATTGGATAATGCAAAAACACATAATTGTTTATAGAATAATTGCTTCACGTTACACATGGCAGTTTATTGCTAGCACAGTTACAGATATTTTTGCAATAGTGATAAAATAATGTCGGTTTCAATTGATAATGATACTAATAACACAAATATTTTAGAAAATATTTTAAAAGATGTAATGAATATTACATGTATGAAAGTTCGTTTGTTGCATATGAATAGGGATGTCAAGTGGGCCGGTCTCGTGAGCCGCGGTCCCGATACTTAAATAAACGGGCTTAGCGCTCCAGATCTAAACGGTCTTTTTGTAGGAATAGGTCAGAACTGGGCCCACAAACTCAAGGCCCCGGGCTAAATGGATCAGGCCCACATGCTAAGTGAGCCCGCATTGCTTTAAATATCTTTTTACAATATTTTTGTCTTTAAATTTGAATTAAAAAATTAGATCACAATTCGGGCCCACTGACCATGAGTACATGGGCCAAGTGCCGGGCAAGTTCCTACAAATTAACCATTTAGACCGGGACCGCTAAGCCTGTTTATTTAAGGGCTGGGACCGTGCCCATGAGACTAGCCCACTTGGCCAGCTTAGGACCCGACCCACTTGCCACCCCTAAATTCAACACAAGATAAAATACTACCTCACTTTAAATTTATATGAACCTATTAACTTTTTAGTCCGTGTTAAAAAATGACCAATTTACCTATTTGGAAACAATTTAGCTTTATACAATAACTTATAGCCACACAATATATATGCAACTCATTTCACACCACTGGTTCAAAATTATTCTCTCTTTTCTTAAATTACATGACCAGTCAAATAGGTTCATATAAATTGAAACGGAGGGAGTACTTAATTTCAGCACCACTAATATCACCAGGAGAATAGGAAAACGTTCTGAATCCATGTTTCCTATTTGCACTGTTCACTCTAATAAATGTAAAAACATAATTACAGAATAACCTTATACAGAAAGTATAGATGTAATGTACTACGCAATGGAGGTCTTGTGGAACACACTACACTTCCCAGCGTGAGTTGGTGCCATAAAGAATCTTCTATTCTACTATCCATAAATCATAGACATTTCTTGCTTCTAATGCAATCTACTCAGCGCCTGCCTTCGGATAGTGAATCATAATACAGAGTCAAGCTGAGACAGAGATAGAAACTCAATAACAGCCAGATCAAACAACAAACAAGCAAATATAGAAAGCAACAGATTATAACTAGCTCATTAGAGTGAACTAAGTTGAGCAACTACTGCATGTTACAACCAAACAGCTCAAAAGAATGACCAATACATTTTTCCTTCAAAATAAAATATTTCTATTTCTGTGGCAGTGAATCAAATGATAATAGGGAATTGATGCAAGTCACAGGGTCATTGTGGATACTTTGTAGGAGAAATTTTGAAAACCCCAAGCCGTAAAACAATTCAAGGGGCCAACCATTCTCAGAACTTCCATATATGCGTTGATTAGAGGCCTCTATACAACCATAGAGATGGGAAGAGCAAAAGAACAATCAATGCTGACCTATCACTACCAACAAGCATCGGCCACAATACAACTTATGCATAATAAGAAAGCGGATCCATCATTGTTTTTTATTAAAAGTGGTATTCAGAAAAGAATATAAAAGATTTCAGTTTAGAGAAAACATTTGTACATTTTGGTTTAGCAACATTACAGTTCATGATCATCTTATAAACTAGCGGATTAAAGTTGGCAAGTCAATAGAAGAAAAAAAGAATGTTATCTACTACTATAGCCTAAAAGGAAGTCAATTAGAGCCAAAAAGAAAAACATATATTTCATTGTCAGACACAACCATATACTAGTCTTTAACTAAGTCCTTCACTCACAAAAATATGCTCTTCTAATTTTCAAGATCCAAGTATCCCTTATAAGATTTCCCCAAAATACAGTCACATTTCAGTTTAATTTCTCATCAACCGAACAGCTTCAGCTCGATTGTCTACTACAAATACTCAGGTATATAAAAAAATGCTCACAGTTCCTGACATAATGATATATATGTAGGAGTATTTTCCAAACTCCTCTATCATAAAAAGTTTTCAAAGGAGCCTGACAAGCTTCAAATTTAATGTAAGCATCGATGAGTATCCTCTTCCATCCATATGTATAGGATGGAAAGAAATAAGCAATGCTAGAGTCATACCATTTCATATTAGCACTGCCGAGGTACAGCACTCACAAATGAAATGCAATGGAGTAAGTAGATTGCTAACTCTAGGGCATTTACGTAAGCTCGCTAAAATAAAAGGAATTGTGGCAATTGGAGCTTGATTACAATGGCCTCGTAAAGCTGCCTCGTAATGGATGGTTTGTAGGAGAAATTTTGAAAACCCCAACGGCATAAACAAATTCGAGGGGCCAACCATTCTCCAAACTTTCATATAAGCATTGATTAGAGACTTCTTTACACCCATAGTAATGGTGAAGAGGAATAGAACAATCAATGCTAACACAAGCCATGTTATGCATACATAAGAATGAACAAAATCACAATAAGGATATAATAGTTTACCAGTTCTGTTGGAGACATATGACGGCGCCGTATCCGTCCGATTCCGTGAGCTTCGTTGTAAACCAAACACATTATACAGAGACTCGAAGCTCCTCTATACCCCGCGCTAAACAACTAAGTTGGATTTAGTATTAGAGGATTCATCAGTTAGTATTTAGACAGTGATGAATCCTCTAAATATTGAATCCGCATAGAGGAAGATCTTCAAATGTAGGTTCAATTGAGAAAGAGATAAAGGAGTTTTCGCTCCTTACTCGTAACGCCTGCCATTGTCGAAAAAGGTAAGGAGGCTCCGCCAGAGCTGTAATACAGCTCATAGATGTACATGCGGCTGACTAGGGTTTTACGGGCAGAGCCGCCACTGATTAGGGTTTTGCACACCCAGTGCAGTAGTAATGCCTCTATTTATAGGAGTAGAAAAAAAGAATGAGCTCCCACTTTTACCAAACTATATGACGGTCCTTTGTGTTTGATGTATGTTCATATTAGTCCTTTAAATAAACTTTTGAGCAATTTTGATCATTTTTCCATTAAGTATTTATATCTATCTATCTATACTTATACTATATTAAAAGCACGAAGTTCTTTAGCGGAATATGGTTCGTCTTTTTTACCCTTTAAAAATAGTGGTAATACTGAATTAAATAGTAATTTAAATATTTTCCTAATATGTAAGAATTGTCATTTAATTATTTTTCTAATATCTGGGATATTGAAATCAACTATAATTTTGATTATTAAAATTTTCATAACTGAATTATGTAGAGAATCTTATATTTAGGATTCCAAAAGAAATTAAATTTTATTTTATATATTTTTCTTATTTCAATCCTATTAATATTAAAGTTGTTATAAACTATAATATTTTTTTATTATTCAAAACTTAGAAATTAAGTACTCATATTTGTACTATCTTTTTCCGTAGATTAGCACTATTTTAAACCTACTAAAAATAGGTAAACATAAGTAGAATACTCATTGTATTTGGCAAAATTAAAATTGAGTTTGAAATGTTTACTTTAGTTTCTTACAAGTTTTTTGGGGCAAGTTTTCGGGGCTAGTTTACTTGATACAGTTAATAGCCACTTGAAGTGTTTAAATGATAAAAGGGTCAATTGAGGTGTCTGGATGATCGTTGAGGACAACTTAAATGGACGGTTTATGTATTTCGCCTTTACAATATGACATATTTCAATGATTTAAATTCTTAATATATATTAGCACAGTAAAATCAGGGGTTTAAATTTTTATCATATATTCATAATTTTATAATATTAATAAATAGATTGAAAGATATAATTGAATAGAAAGAAAATTAACGTATCTCATTTCTAAAGACCAATATTCAGTTCAGGTAAATAAATATGCAACATAAAATATAGAATAGGTTAAATTCGAGCTTGAGATGAAAGAGTTCCAATCCCATCTATATCATTTTGGAAGTACAAATACTTTTATTTTATACTAATATAAAGAATTTTGTATTACTAAATTTAGTGTTTAATATCTAATGCCATTGAAGGACAATTTGGAATATTACATAGATGTTATTAGATTTTATCATGTGAAATTTATTTTATTATAAGAAATAAAAATAAGAGATATGAGTGTAATTCTCAAACCGTAATGGAAGTTTGTGTTATAAAGAGAATTTAAGAGGAAAGTTTTAGAATTTATCCCAAGTTGTAATTATAGCTAAATATTAAAATTTGGGATGAGTTAATATTAAGTTTTAAATTAATAAAAAAAAAATTAATGTGTAAAATAAATAATTAAATTGGTTAAGTAGCAAAAGAATGTGATTCAATTCCCCCCCCCCCCCCC